AAAAAAAAAAAAAAAAAAAAAAACAAATTTGAATTTCTGATTTTCGACCCAGCACAAAGCTTCCCTCCCATTCCATTTTCCCTCCTCTTCGAAGCTCTTTTTCCCTCCTTCTTCCAAGCTCTGGCGATTGGCGAAGTCAACGGCAAATCAACTTGAACGATCGGCGGTGCCAGCACAAAGCTTCCCTCCCATTCCATTTTCCCTCCTCTTCGAAGCTCTTTTTCCCTCCTTCTTCCAAGCTCTGGTGATTGGCGAAGTCGACGACAAATCAACTTGAACGATCAACGGTGAACATCGATGGTGAACCAAGCTCCGGCGAACCAGAGCTCCACTTCGTCATCAACTGAAGGTAATCTTTGTCATGGCTGGGCAACATTGGTATTAAGGAACATTAAGGAACTTCCTGAGGAGTTAAAAAACTGATTAAAAACTGATTACATTTTTAAGGAACATTAAGGAACATTGTTTGTCATGGCTGAGCTCTAGTGTTGTTCATTTGCTTCAATTTGTTTAAAAACTGATTACGTTTTGATAATAATCAGTGGAAACAATACAATGGGAAAAAAAGCTTAGGCTCTAGTGTTGGGTATTTGCTTGAATTTGTTTAATGCAACCATGATTCATCTAAAACTAGTTAGGTTTTGATAATAATTAATGGGAACAATACATTAACTAGTTAGGAAGGATACTAGTTAGGCTTCAATTTGTTTGCTGTCATTGTTCTATTGTGAGTGGAACATGTCACAAGACTTCCACTATCTACTTCATTAACCTCAATAACCAAGAGAATAACTTATGTTCTGTAATCCATCTCCCTAAGTTTTTAACTCCTGAAACAACAGATTAATACAAGGAAGATATAAAAATCACCTAAACCATTGATATATTGTTGTCTATAAGTTCATTCAAGACCTGCACTTCTTTGTAATTGGAGGTAATGAAGAACAATAAAAAAAATGATTGTGGTTGAATGAAGCTATAAGTTCATTTAAGTAATGTTTCTAATTATTGTTCTCCCATTTGATTGCCTCTACTTTTCAGTTGCGTTTTTATATGGATATGGAACCTGACAATGATTGTGGTTGGAAGCCAAAAGTAGGAATGACCTTTGATTCGGAAGAAAGTGCGTACGATTTTTATAATGCATATGGAGGAAGAATGGGATTTAGCATAAGAAGGGAATATTGTAAGAAGAACAAGTTAACAAAACAAATTATTTCTAGAAATTTGGTTTGCAACAAAGAGGGATTTCGGAAGGTTGACAAGCGAGACCCATTGACAAAAACCCCTAGAGCTGAAACTAGGACTGGTTGTGAGGCCCGACTTTTTGTTAAATTGGATGTCAATAGTGGGAAATTTGTTGTGATTGATTTCAAAGAAAAACACAACCATGAACTTGTATCTCTTGATTGTGCCCATATGTTGCCATCGCAAAGAAAGATATCAGATACCCAAGCAATTGAGTTAGACTTAGCCTCAGAGTCTGGTCTTCGTTTAGGGTAGTCTTTTGAACTGATGGGTAGGGAAGTTGGAGGGCGGCAGTCTCTTGGTTTTATGAAATTAGATCAAAAAAATTACTTGAGAACCAAAAGACAAAAAAGTTTAGCGTATAGGGAAGTAGGTAATGTGTTGCAATACTTTCAACAAAAATCCTTAGAGAATCCATCTTTTTTTTATGCTTTCCAATTAGACAATGAAGAGCAAATAACGAATATGTTTTGGGCCGATGCACAAATGGTCATGGATTATGCCCAATTTGGCGATGTAGTTACATTTGATACTACCTACAAGTTAAATAAAGAGCATAGGCCATTTGCATCTTTTGTGGGATTTAATTACCATAGAGAAACAGTTGTCTTTGGTGCTGCGTTGTCATATGATGAGACTGCCGAAACATTTGTATGGTTATTTCAAACTTTTTTAGAGGCTATGTCCAAAAAGGCACCAAAAACTTTGTTTACCGATCAAGATGCTGCAATGGCTAAGGCCATACCCATTGTCATGCCTGACACGAGTCACCGTTTGTGCACTTGGCACTTGATGCAAAATGCATTAAGGCATGGTAATTATCTCTTTCAAGATAAGGGGGTGAAAGGTGTATTAAATAGATTCATGTTTGATATTGAGGATGAAAATGAATGGGAAATGAAGTGGGGGGAAATGCTTGATACATATGATGCTCATGACAACCATTGGTTGAAGTTGATTTTTGGGGTGAAGGAAAAATGGGGCTGGCCATATGTTAGATCAACATGGGCTGCGGGAATGAGTACAACACAACTTAGTGAATCTTTTAATGCATGTTTGAAGGATTACATTCGTTCTGATTTTAATTTAAATGAATTCTTCATGCATTTTGAAAGGGTACTTTGTGAGAAGCGGTACAAGGAGTTAGAAGCTGGATATGCTTTATGCCAAAGGTTGCCAAGGGTGCGAGCGCCATTCATAATGTTGAGTCAAATGGGTAATGTGTACACTAAAAATATTTTTGAGGAGTTTCAAGATGAGTATTTTATTTCTGTTGAATCAGACATACAAGCAATTGAATACATTGATGGTTGTAGCCTATACACAGTTGTTGATGCTATTGGGAAAAATGCAAGGAAAGTGAAAATGGAGATGGATGGCTCTTTGGCTTGTAGTTGTTCAAAGTTTGAAAGGAAAGAGATTTTGTGTAGTCACTGTTTGAAGGTTATGAGAGAAATATTGAATTTGAAAGAGATTCCTTCACAATACATTATGAAGAGGTGGACCAAACAAGCAAGAGGAGAAGCTGTGACGAACAAGTTAGGGAATGAGATTCAAGTAGACGTCAAATTCAAACAAGCCTCACGGTATAAGACATTGATGACCGCATTTAGATCAATAGCATGTAGAGCTGCTGAAACTGAGGAAAGTTATGATTTTTGTTGTTCACAAGTAGCTGCATTAGGTGCACATGTTGAAAGCAAGATAAGTGCACATTTTTGTCCTGAAAAAGAAGTAAGTATTAATGATCAACCTCAAACCTGTGAGCAAGAAGACAACAATCATGAAGACAACAATCATGTTGTGCAAATTCCAATAGGATTGAAGAAAAAGCATCCAACTAGTAAGGGCAAAAGAAGGATAAAAGGTCCATGTGAGCTGGCATTGCAAGCAAGCTTTAAAAAGAAGTCCCGTGCACAATTTTTGAGTTCTTCAAGACCTGTTGCTGCTCCAACTGTAAGACCTTCTCCATTATCTATTGGAGGAGATGTAAGTATTCATGAAAATGTCACTCCTCTTCATCCTCCTCTTGCTCCCCCTCCTCCTCATTCCGTTGCCATGGGTGGTACAATTCCTCCTCCATTAATATATCCCACATATAATGTGAGTCAGATTTGTAGCCAAGTAATTTGTGTTTTGTCAATTAATTTTTCATTTGCATCTTGTTATGAATCGTAATATAATATGAATGAATTGTAGGCAAACAATTTGGCATATTGTGGACAACCAACATTTATGACACTACTTCAAGGTGGGTATGACATTGGGTTTGAAGATTCTCAAGGCTCACAGACAGGTTCTCGGCCAACAAACAATTTGCTGCTGCATACTTTTGCTGCTGATTTGGTACTTTTGTTGTTGATTTTGTGCTGCTAAAATGCTGTTTTTGGTGCTGATTATGTGCTGCTATAATGCTGGTTTTGGTGCTTATTTTGTCCTACTGAAGTATAGTGTTGGTGCTGTTTTTTTTTTCAGGGTTTGGATGGCCATGAAGAGTTGGAAGGCACTTCAAATTTCATGCATAGGAGATGCCTCTGAGCTGCTGTATTTAACATTGATGTTGATGTTGAAGTTGAAGTATTTAATTGTGAAACTTGTTCAAACTTGTTAACTATTTAATGTTGCTGTTGATGTTCAATGGTGAAACTTGTTGAGCTGTTGTATTTTGATTGTGAAACTTGTTGAAACTTGTTAAGTATTTAATGTTGATGTTGATGTTCAATGGTGAATGGTGAAACTTGTTGAAGTATGTGGGATATGTTAATGGAGTTTATTTTGTTTTGGATATGTTGATGTTGAATGGTGAATGGTGAATGCTGTAGCTTTATTCAAAATCTTTGTTGAAAATCTGTCTCCAAAACTTTGTCTTAAAAACCAATGTTGAAAAAATCTTTGTTCAAAATCTGTTCACAAATCTATGTTTCAAAATCTTTGTTTAGGGCAATCTGTGCTGAAAATCTGTCTTTGTTTAGGGCAATCTGTGCTGAAAATCTGTCTACAAAAACCTGAGTTCAAAATTTCTGTTCACAAATCTGTCTTTCAAAATCTGTGTTCAAAAACTGTGCTGAAAATCTGTCTTTGGAAGCTGTCTTCAAAAACTGTCTTCAAAAATTCTGTCTTCAAAAATTCAGGTTCACAAAAATTCTGTCTACAAATCTGTTCACAAAACTGTCTTCAAAAATTCTGTCTTCAAAAACCTGTGTTCAAAATACATAGCCAAAATACATAGCCAAAAACCTACTTTGAAAATTCTGTCTTCAAAAATTCAGGTTCACAAAAATTCTGTCTACAAATCTGTTCACAAAACTGTCTTCAAAAACCTGTGTTCAAAATACATAGCCAAAATACATAGCCAAAAACCTGTTCTGAAAATTCTATCTTCAAAAACCTGTGTTAAAAAACTTGTGTCAAACCTCTGTCATGAAAATCTATCTTACATTACAAGTCATTACAAAATCTATCATACTCATACTCATACATTACAAAATACATTACAACTCAAACTCATGCATTACAAGTCCACCATACATTACATACACATTCAACGTACATTACAAGTCATACTCATACTACCTTACATTACATACACATTATACCTACAATACAAGTCATACTGACACTACCTTACATTACATACACTATTTCAAATACACTAAAATCACAACTACCAGCAACAACAAAACAAAAAAAAACAAAGGCGCAATTCAATTTTGCACCAACTCTTTCAACCACCATTGCCAAGTCTCTCTATTGTTTCCTACTCTTCATAGTCATGTCTTTGAGCTCCCCATTCACGATAATTACTTCTCTAAGAGTAGACAAGACTTCCATGCGTTCTTCATCAATACCATTCTCGACCACCTTCAAATTATGCTGCATATGTGGAAGGATCCACCACTGAAAGAAGTTGCAACCATTCGAATAATTGGAGCATACAAAATAAAGGCAATTTGGATTATCCGTTGACTGAGAAATCTTCACCACAGCTTTTTTGCCACATCGACAATTGCGGTTTTCAAATCTAACTTCATGCATGTTGTCCATACTTGAATTTGTGCTTGACATTGACATTGACCTACAAAAAATTATCAAATACACAAAAATTATCAAAAAAGAGACAATAACCCCAATGGTGTTTCTACATCCAATAAAGAGGTTCACATGCATATGTTTATCATACACAATAAAAAAGTTTAATCTAAACACCAAACCCTGTGTACTTGTAAAGTGGAAATGAGTCCCATTAATCTGAACAATAATCTGAACACAATAATCTGAATGTTTATGATTTTCAACAGATTCTAAATCACTTTAAAATGATTAATATGTTCATATAACTATCATTTATAATTAATATAAATGGAAACATCAAATCAATTCAAAATAACCAGAAAATGATACCAAACTAAATTTGTCTAAGACATTGTTAGCCACTTCAATGTGTGATAATCTAACATATTCTGAACAACATAACTTAATTGATATATTTAGGCCTCTTGCTGCTGTCAATGCTGCCAAAGTTGTCCTATAATGGGTCATTAAGGAGCTCTGATTCATGAACCATAATTCAAGCACTTTTCAAATTTATTCATTCAAGCACTGATTCAAATTATTTTCCTATAGTGGGCCAGTGCGTGAAAAGTGTTGAAGATAATGTATATATTCATTCATTCCCTCTATTTTTGAAAAGTGTTCTCTATAAAATTTCCTGAAAGATGCACATAGCACATAATCAAATATATATATATATATATATTAATGAAAAATTATGAGCATGTAAAGAAAAAAAAAAAACAATGGCAGATGGACATTACATTACATACACATTCTACCTACAATACAAGTCATACTGACACTACCTTACATTACATACACATT